GAGTATTGGAAACAGGTACCTTATAGTAGGTGACTTTGAAGCCAAACATATCAAATGGGAGGAATTAACATCGACAGGCTAGGATACTTGTCTAAGCAAGGAAATAATACTGACTGTACCCTAGTGTCCACTGGTGTAGCATGTTTGTGCACCATTACGATACGACTCTGAACGTCATTCGTTTTGGAAGCCGACTTTTTTCTGTATTTATTTATTTCCAAAAGCAAGTCAGAGGGCAAGTGAGGCTGGGAAAACCTAGTCAGACAAACGGAAGGACATTCGTCACTCAACAGAGATAGCCATACAAACCACAAAGAAAATATGGTTCCTAGTTGGTTACTCGTTCCATCCATCTGAGTTCCTTAACCACATGCAACAAGTGAGTGGCCATAGAATGCCATGATGCATAGGACATAAACCAACTACTCTGGGATTTGTAGTAATTCACCAGAAGGAGGATTTAAACGACATTGGGTACCTCCCACCAACAGGCAGTAATGACTACATAGCTACTTCTCTTACTTTTAAGATTCATGACTTCATACATGGACCGATATCTCGTCCAAACATCTGGAAAGCGGGTGTATCGTCAACCCGCAACGCGACAACCCTAGCTGACTGGTCAGTTAGGACAACTAGAACTGTCGAGAGAGCTCGGGCGAGATTTAGGAATACACTAGATTGCGCTGCCTCACCTCCTGTAATTTGGTATACGCCTCGGGAGTTATCGCACAAACCACCTTGGATTAGTGGCGAAATAGGGAGGTTATTAAGAAAGAGAAGAAGCTTATTGGACCGATTTCTATTAACAGGGATGGAGGAGTTTTGAGTGGGCTGTAGGAAAATGAGGAGTAGTTTTGGGTATATAGTTGATAAAAGTCGCATAGAGTAGCACGGAAATGGTAGTCTTGTTACTTAGAATATTTACTCTCTCATTAGAAACTGGAACTTATCCTGAAGTGTGGAAAACCACATACATATTACCTAAGCACAAAGCAGGGGCCAAAACCAGTGTATGCAACTATAGACCTATCAATATAACACCGGTAATATCCCGAATAATGGAGAAAGTGGTTAAAGACCAAGTGTCAGACAACTTACTAGAACATGAACTTATCAATCCATCACAACACAGATTTCTCAATAAGAGATCATACGTGACCTGTCACATAGACTTTTTCAATGAAGTTACACGAAGTAGGGACAACAGAGAACTAGTAATTGTGCTCTATTTCGATATAACAAAAGCCTTCGACAGAGTTCCCCATAATCTGCTAGTCAGCAGGTTATGCTCACTAGGGATATGTGATCCTCTCCTGAGCTGGATAAAATCATTTCTCTGTGGCCGAAGTCAGACAACGAAAGTTGGCTCGATAATCTCAAGGCCTAAACCAGTAAGTAGTGGTGTAATCCAGGGAAGTGTATTAGGCCCACTCTTATTCATAATATATATAAACAGTATCTGTGAATGCTTTAGTGTAGGAAAACCAATACTATATGCAGATGACTTAAAAGTGACGTATAAATGCAAGAACACAGATCTTGAAATAACAGTAAACGCCATACAGCAAGAATTAGAAAAAATAGATAGATGGTGTGACACCTGGCAACTCCAATTTAATGTCGAAAAATGTGGCTGGCTCTGCATAGGTTGCAACAATTTAGAACTTGACCTGACAATTCAAGGTCATGCACTTCAACGACTGGAATCTGTACTGTACCTAGGGCTGAAATATTCACATAACTTATCATTTTCTGAACACATTTCCAAACAAGTGTCACAGTCACGCAGACTTATCGGCTTTCTACTCAGGAACTTCTACAGAAATGAGTCTAGAATTCTGTTGTACAAGGTTTGTGTGCGTCCTTTATTTGATTACTGTTCATTCATGTATAGTAGCATACGCATAGAGGACAAATCGAAAGTCGAGGGAGTGCAGAGGTACTTCACGTTAAAATTACTCGGAACCGGAAATGGTACGAACTACTCCACTAGATGTGATACCCTAGGACTAGAAACACTATGGCTAAGACACCTGAGACTAAACTTGACACTTTACTATAAGCTTCTAAACCACTTAGTTTTTCCCACCACTAATAGCACTCGACTTTCAGATGACAATGGCTATAAACTAAGACACACTAAGGGTACAGTAGCTATCGAACAATGTAAAACAGCCACCAGGAAAAAGTTTTACTTGATTAGGTATGCACAGATATGGAATAAACTGCCAATGGAAATGCGTCAAGCAAGTACATTGGCCTCCTTCAAAAAGGTGCTTAATGACAAACTACAAGAGTTTGCAAACGATATTAGTTCTAGTTCCTATCTGAGAGCCTCCGAAATTATAGGTCCATTTAATGTATAAGCTTAAATACTACACCTGTTGTTTTTTGCCTATATTTATAATTCTAGATAAAACATTAACGGTTAACATAAGTATCCTCAAACAGACAACAAATCTCGTTTGTAAAACTACTACCCAACACAATAAGTGGAATAAAATGGACATAAACCGACAACATGAAAAAGGTATAACTCACCACAACATCACATGGACAGATGAACGCTCGTTGGGTACCATATAACCCTCACCAACTGCAACCCACCTTTCCTTAGATAATGTGATGAACTTATACCCATAATGTTGCTGAGCAGTTAATATTCTCAACTCCTGTCGGAACAGCTGAAACTCATAAACCTTCCTAACGCTAAGAAAATACCCGTAATCAGTAGAAATCCATTAATTAATGCGTCCGAAGCTTATGTACTTACACCCAACAATGACATTGCAGATCAAATGAGATAAACACATCACTGATTTCAAAATAACACATCAATGAACTTTAATTCGAGGACTTTATTTTTTTCCCAGGCACTTATAATCCATCCACCAAAGACCTGGTTTTTTTGTTAATGCGAAGACAATACTCCTGTATTTCCTGTTGTGTTGCACTCACTGACAATCTAGCAGATTTTTCCAACTTTGCACAGAAATGATTGTATATAAGTGAAAAGGCTGTTTTATACTACTGGGATTAACATTTATCAAGTGTATGTATAATCTCCATCGAACATGTAAAGCATATCTTGCTACTGGCTGTAAATTGTGATTAAATTATATGGTTCTATTTCTGTAACAATTTGATGATGCCTGTAAACTGGCGTCCCTCATGTACTATACTATGAGAATAAATTTATTTATTATTTATATATATATTACCGTAAAGATAACGTAAAACGATTACACTCGTACATTAAATGTAAGACAAAAATTAGCAGTAATATATATTTCCTATCTATGTAGGACACACCAGTTGTACAGGCATGGATAAGTATTATTTAAATTACATGAATCTGATTTATAGTGAAATTACATGGTTGCTGTGGTTGTAGTACACCGCAGTTCATAAGCAATACTGGAGAGGCGGTTGAGTCAGATGGAGCAAAGGTTGAAAACCTCTCCGAAAACTTTCATGATGTCTTCTCCTCTGACTGTACTACCCAGGTGTTTAGCAAGTTCACTGTCATCGCCAGTAAAATGCTCAGAATTGTGGCAGACGACTTAGTGGTTCTGAAACCACTGTTTAAACCATAGCCAGGTAAATCAAAGAGGGAGACAGGCAATTGGTACCTTACCTAATCTTCACTATCATTTGCTGACGATATTAAGATCTGGAAAAATGTAAATAGTATTGATCATAGGCTAGCCTTACAAGGTGGTCTAGGTAAATTAAAATGCGGTTTAGAGACTAATTCTAGGGAGAGCGCTATGATGCACTTAGGTCAGAGGTCCTACACGTCTAAATCTCTGGAAGATTCAGAACTGCTTGATGATAAAGAACAAAAGGACTTAGGAATTATTGTTAGTTATGACGTGAAAACGACTGCGGGTTCTAATGCGGCTTTAGAGGCTGAGGGTGATGAGGTTAATGAGTAGTGAGTGGTATTACTGATGAAAGATCTAATACCCACAACTTCTGTAGTATTCGTTTAGCGTAGGCCGAAGGCAAGGCAAAACACCAGAATTGAGCGTCCAAATTATGAGTTATATTTCGGGACCGAATCGGAGTGAGAGATGATTGCTTAACTAGCTAGGGATCGTGCACGAACGAACAAACGAAAGTGATACGACCGCGTACCAAATGGCGTGGATGCTTGACTGGAAGCCGTCAGCTAAACAACTAGACTTAAGCAGTGAGGGTCAACATCTAATGTTCAGTGATGAATGCTGTGGCCAACAATTCTGGGGAATTACCTACCGCCACATAGCTGCAGCTAAGGTTTTCTGAATGTTATAGGCACTTCGAAGGGCTTTCGGATGGTAAGGCTTTGTTCGAGGTGCCGTATGCAACAAAAGTCAGGCATTATCTAGATTACTGAATACAAGCGGCTAGTTCACGCTTCAAGAGAGAGGGTCTTATCTCAGCAACAGTAAAAAGGGTAGGAACCAAATTAGTAACTGGTGTCTCACACCTTCCTTATAAGGGGAGGATGGAATACTTAAATCTCTTCCAATTGTCATGCCGAAGCTCAAGTGACTTAATTTAGGGATATCGTATATTAAAGAATGATCTTTCTAAAGTTTTCCCTCCCCCCAAGATAAATCTGCCAGGTCACCACAAAAAGGTGCTCAAACCGCAGAGGAATAAAACACGTATGGAATTTAGATTCTGCCATAGAATGCTCAACAACTGGAACTCCTTAACTGATTCTGTAGTATCAGCTAAATCGGTGAACCATTTCAAAGGGAAATTAGATCTCTGAACAGATATACATTGAAAGGATTAACACAGACCGTTAGAGCCTACTGTCCTTATTGTATGAATCTAAATCGTTAGCACGTAAGACTCATTCCTTTTCAAACATCTTCATTCTCACATCCCCCTAGAGTCTAGCAAAGCATTCAGAGGAGGTTTTCGGATCCACAAGAGACAAAAAACTGTGCCTCACTATCGGGAATCGAGAACAGCGGCCACAACTAAAATATATGGGTAGTGAAAACAGTAAAACTTGTGGCGCCATTTATGGATCCATCATTAGATTACCCTCAAATTTATAAATCTCTAAGTAATGATGTTAAAAAGTACTACTTGCATGTATCCTAATGTATATTATACTTTAGAAAGCTAAGTGAAAGAAATAAATCAGATGATCAAGCTCATGACTTCGGTACGTTGAGAAAAGCATGTATATGCTGTAATATTAACTCATTTATAGCTTGTGTGGCCAAAAGTTTGGCTGGTCAAGAATCTCATTCATTAGCAGCAGTATTTTTACTAGGAAAAGCCAGGTTCGTTCTATAATTCTATCGTAAAAACCTTCATTCTTATGGCCAACTAAGTTTAAATGACTACTAGTTCATCTTTGAATTATGTGTACTCCAAGTTTTTCTCAAATAATTTGTTAATAGCTACTAAAAGTTCCGTTCTAAAGAATGTTCCTCTTTCATAATCCTCCTGAAGAGACATTAAAGTAATTGGAAACGGTAATAGAAGTCGGGTAAGCCTAGCTGTTAAGGCCACAAGTTTTTTCGTATAAGTTCATTAGATCAAGTCACCACACTTCGAGAAGGCACATGAAACTAGAGAAAGGAAGTGCGATTAAACGACAACCGATGAAGGCATAAGGAGAAAGAATAATTAAATAAGAGGTTCTAAACATCGAATTCTGGATGAGCTCAAATAGACGTATTAAAAAGACCCTTCAGTCCTTAATTCTTAGAACATGAGGATCACAGCCTGCTAGCAAATACCTACCCAGATGCCTCAGGCAAACAGTCAGTAGTTGATAACATGTTTTGGTCTGACTACATACTCTTTCCCAAGTTAATCTTACTTCAAGTAACATCACTGGTCAAGGAAGTTGATGGTTTGACATATGTAAGAAGTAATGAGGCCATTTTTATTTTTACACCTAAAACTCTATGCCTAATCTTATTACTTCTTATTACCTTACCCAATATGAGGCGAGTCATTCAATTAAGTCGCTTGTGCTGAAAAAATGGCTCATTCTCTCAAATCTTTCTTCAGCGACAGTGTCTCACAGTATAGAGCAGAATAAACTGATATTCTTGTTACGCACGAGTTTTGATTGATAGCTTCGCATCATATCTGCGGTAGAAATGGTACAAGTTGGCAAATACCAAGTGAACCTATTGTATTCATGCTGAGTCTTCGTCGACCACCCATCCATTGCGACTGATACCACATCAAATAAGTGAAGTGATATGGTCTAATCAATACTCTCCTAAAACTAATAGTTAGAAGAGATCCGTCCTGTAGCGTCTTCTGGAATTTGATTGAAGCAGACCGCATACCAGACATAGTGAAAGTTTTGTTCAATGTGTTCAGAAGACTGCATTTCATTATCGTATTCGTCTGGAAAAACTATATCATCTGGGTTGTCTAAATTTAATGGAATTTTAATTTGTAATAAGGCAGTATCTGAGATACTGTAGTCTGTCAGAGTCATTCATACGTAGATATTTCTGGAAACTAAGTTGGATTGATAGTACTGAGCTTGTCTGATGGACAGCGTTTTGGATAGAATCTATCTATTTGCTGTCACACTGCGGAATAAGGTCGGTCAGATTGCCTCTATTCACACTCCTCTTCATACTCAGATAATATCACAACACCTTTTAGTTGGTGGAGTTAAATGCACTATTCATATCGAGAAATATGGAGCGTCTTGGTCGTTGGAAGAAGTGGCTATGTTGTTGAATCTATTAAAAGGTGAAGATTTCCTCAATGCATCCCCATGAAGTCGTGAAACCTATTGGTTTAATTCACGGTACAGAGTGTATCAAAGTATTTATCCCTCGCATCCCGTAGGTCTTTTCTAGACAATTCACACTTCCATTCTTGGCTGAGGTTGATATTCATAAACTTTATGGGTTGAATATGTTTAAAAAAAAATTAAATCTGTAACATTGTGTAATTTTCAATGGTAATAATGCTAAAAAGGTGATGTTCAGTTCCATCTGAAGTGGCTATAACCATTATAGTCTTTTAGTGTTACCGTTCTCACTTCATTTATTTAGAAAGTATTGCTTCGTGTCTGACTGACTGACTGGTTCCAGCGTAGAACTTTGCACAGATGTGCAACAGTTCGAGTTGCCACACTCCATGTAGCACACAAAGCAAGAGAAAACAGTACAGAGAGATTCAAAAGGGAAATAATAAACATGTATAAGGCAAAAAATTGTAATAAAGAAGAACAATATAGGGGATATGAAAAATCACAGAGTGAGTGAATGCATATGCGCCATCATTGAGAACGATTTTGAGCCATATCACCGATTGTCTCCAGGCTTCACTAGTTTTTACCATCTTGAGGACCCCAACCTAGAAGTCTACACTTCCCTATGTGGTCGGCTTATGTGAACTGTTTTGGATTTCATTGACTAATGAAGCCATGTTTTCGTTTGACCACCGTGTGCTAGCTCTTTTTCAACGTGATCAATCTTATGTCAGCTAACGTTTCCCGTTGTCGACGAAGGCGATGGCTAGGCATACGCAAAACATGTCCTAACCATCCCAATCAGTTTAACTTCATAGCCCCGTCAATTAATTTCCCCTTCTTACCTGGCACTCGACGCTATGGTTGCTCTACTTGACTCCAATGTTTCAGAAATGAACTTCCTACCAGGGATAAACCCCGGTATTTTAGAGCACTGAAGTAAAAACGTTAATAAATAAAGCATTTTCTAGATATCCTGAGCGAAAATCCGGATATTTTCGACACATCCTTCAATCTTGCCATATGAAATACTGCCGCACGATACTTTGGTTTAAGGTAAAAAAGTAAAATAACTAAATATTTCGAACACTTCACCTATTGGTAAGTTACACAAGTTCTGATGCACTGGTGGCCAAAGTTATCTTTGGGTTCCAAGTGGAACATTAGGCTTCAGTCACACATCGCCATTTCACTCCCTTCCAGGCAGTCTTTTTGGCTAGCTGCACCATTACCCATAAGCTCTCATCTCCCCCTCTTACGATCCTTTCCATACCACTCTTGGACGTCTAAGTGATTGTTTTCCATTCTGATTCCTTTCGAGGACCTGGTGCGTGGTTGTCACGCAACGGTCTTATCAATATATGTCCGATTTCTCCATTTCTTTCGGTATATTTTTGGGCAATAGGTTCTTGGCTGATTCGCTGCTTTCCAAAATCCCTTGTTTTTCATCATCTTTGACTGACCACCTAATCTTCAGTGTCGAGAGAAGACAGGGATTGATGGAAGTTTGTAGTCTGTTGAAGGTGATTTTCGCAACGTGCGCCCCAAGTCTCTGAACTATATAGAACAACTAAATTGACATTAAGGTTAAAAATTTGAATATTTATTTTTGTTACACTGAATGCAGCAAATTTCCACACCGCTCTTATATGTTCTGTTCATTGATGACACTTAGCGTTGCGATTTAATCAGCACATGATTTGCTTTTCCTGTGAATCCACACCACTCGTGGATTTTTAGTAGTTCAACTTAATTTGACTGAAATATTATAATTGGGATTACTATCCTGTTACCTACCAACATAATACTAGAAAGGTTTTCACTTGAGTTTAGTACTCTCCACGTTTGTCAATGATGTGTATAGTATTGTGTGTACACTATTCAACCGTTTTCTCTTTCTTTCAAGTAGTTAGATGCAAATTGCCTTGTTTTAAAAAAAGTTATTTTCAAAATGCATCAGTTTGGAAAGATTTCGAGTGGCTAATTCTTCAATGAGTGATTAATACTCTACTCTTCTCCCATGTTTGTTGTGTATATCTGTGTGTCTGAGAGTGAGAGAGAGGAATTCCTCCCTCTCACTGTGGTGTCTCTTTAAGCTTTGACATTGTAGTGTAACCCTTACTCTTTCTAACTATATAACGTCATTATCCCTGTTTATCCTGTGAGAAGGCTCGTTTGACATTTGCCAAATTACACCATCTGTGGCGCAGACGTGATACCCGGCTGTCGACCAAAGGGCGTGTGTAATCTTCAGCAGTTCACTCTGTCCTCCTCTATGACTGTGAGACATGGCTATTGAAAGTGGAAAAGAGGCTAACTGTTTTTGATCATACGTGTCTGCATTCTATCTCCTGTGTTAAGTAGTATAACAAGGTGAGCAAGATTGAGGTTAAGTGTCGAGTGCTAGATAAGGAGGGGATATCAGTCGATGAGGTTTTGAAGTTACACCGATTGAGATGGTCAGGACATGCCTAGCAGCCATTGCCTTCCTCGACGATGGACAGTGATAGCTGACATAGGATGGGTCAGGTTTGAAAAGAGCCAGTGGTGGTCAAAGCAAAGCACGTCACCATCAGTCAATAAAATCCAAAACATTAGTTAGTTGGAGGCAATCGGCAGGAAGCCTAGTTGGCACTCATCAGCAAAGCGTACCTGTAACCTTGAAGGAACTCATGTCCTTTCTGAGATTCGAACCCGCGTCACCCAGTGCTTCAGTCGGAGACGTTACCACTGAGCTATTCGGACTCGCGATTGACTTCCTGTAGGACCGTAGTGGGTATTTGGATTGGACACTAGTAACTAGTGTGACATGTCTAGTCCTTTCTTTGGTGCTGACTGAATTCTGTCGGTCAGGTTTTGCAATGAGGCCACCATTCTAGGTAGCTCGCCATCACGGTGCACATTGATTTGATGATATTAGATAGTTGGAGGCAATTCGTTCCAGCCAGCGACGTTAGGAGGTGTAGACTTCTTGGTTGGGGTCCTCAAGATGGTAAAAACTGGTGAAGGCTGGAGACAATCGGTGATATAGCTCGAAATCGTTGTCAATGGATGGTGCAGATGCATTCACTCTTTGTGATGTATAGTAGCCAATAAAATTCTCTTCTTCCATACTGCTATTCTTTTTGTCTCATATTTCTGTTTATTATGTTTCCCTCTCTTTTGAATCGCTCTTTACTCTCTCATGTTTTGTGTACAAGTTGAACTGTTACACATCTGTTCAAAGTTCTACTTTGGAAGCAGTCAGTCAGTCAGTTTATCATGTAGGATTAAATCCCCAGAAAGAAAAGATAACAAAATCGTGAAGTGCCATTAGTACTGTGTAATATGTATTCTCCACTTTTAAAATACGAGTTTATAAACTTATGAAGCTGACATTCAGTAGTTATAAGATTTTATCTTACTTGTTAGAATATAGTAGCAATTTGCTGACGTTTAGTGTTACTGTAAACAAGTTAGGTGTATTCCCTGTCGGTAGGAAGTCATACAAGATAATGCATACCATCGCTTTACTATTATTTTTGCTCACTCATTCCTTGCATTCCAAGTGAAACATAGCGCTTCAGCAATACATCTCCATTTTATCCTGTTCTCTAGAGTCCTCTTTAGCTGGCGTCACGATTACCCACAAGCTTTTACTGCCTCTTCACATGATCTCTTCCATGTCATCCTGGGATGACTGACTCGTTGCTTCGTGTTCGGATTCCATTGGATGGCATAGTGTGCTGTGTCAATTGAAGGTATCCTTGGCGTATGCTCAATCCATATCCATTTCCTTCTGGATATTTGTTGTGTTGTTTGCAGCCAGAGTTCCTTGTTGCTTGTTGTTTCTGGTAGTCATCCTATCTTCAGTATCGATGCAGTGAAGACGGTAGGTGTTAATGAAAACCTTTAACCTATTGGAAATGATTTTGCTGACACACGCGTGCCAAGCCTCTGAAATATTTGTATGAAATCTCATATCCATTTATCATACTTCAAAGATCGGCAATGAAGTGGTTAAAAGTGCTGACCACTATACTTATTTGGGAAGTTGTATGAGCCTTGATGGACTGATTGCTGATGAAATTTCAACAGTCAATTCAACTCATATCATCTCTGACGTAGACTTGGTATCCAGCTGGATACCGATCAAAAGACGTGTGTGCTGTTCAGCAGTTCACTCCGTCTGCCTTTATGGCTATGAGACATGGCCATTGAAAGTGGGAAACATGAAATGGCCTGCAGTTTTTGACTACAGATATCTGCGCTGTGTCTCACATGTTAGGTGGTATAATATGGTGAGTAATATTTTGGTTAGGTGTCGAGTATTAGGTGATGAGGAAAAATCAATCATTGAAGTTATGAAGGTACATCTATTGAGGTGGCACGGACACGTGTTACGCAGGCCTAGCCATCATCGTCTTCCTCAACGACGAGAAATGTTAGCTGACTGACATTGGATGGGTAAGGTTGGAAAGTAGCTAGCACATAGTAGTCAAACGAGAACTTGGCATCATTCCATGAAGTCTTTAATAGTTAGACTGCCTAGCTGGTTATGGTCATCGGGATGGTAAGAGCCGATGAAGGCTGGAGACAATTATCGGGGATATGGCTTAAAATCATTGTTGTTAATGGATAGTACAGATGCGTTTACCCTCTGTGATCTGCCATATCCTATAAAACCCTCTTGTTTTTCCATGTCACTCCAAAGCCTCAGGATGGTCGGGGGTGGGTGCCTTGCGCTGCGGGTTGGCCACCCCTCCTCACACCTCTTGAAATGCTCCCATATGACCGGGCGTTTTACATAGCCTCTCCTGAGGAAGTCCTACTCACTGCCTTCACGTGGCGGAGGTGTTTTTCACCAAAGTGAGAGGGCGAAAGCGGATGCCCGGCGCTCTTCACCGGGTTGACTGTCCATTGGATGACAGTCTAGGGGAGATGGCTAGACCCTGATTCCAAACATCCAACGACTGGCGTATAAAGCTCACTGGAGCTCACCGGCACACGTATGGACAAAGGGCTTGTTGGATGTCCTGGATGTCTGGCCCCATTCAAAAAGGCGTATGAACCGAACTCCGGTCACCGACTGCCAATGGATGGTGGACTCCCTACTCCACTCCTACTGCCTTGTAGGTCACACTTGGTTGTGTAAAGGCTAGAGCTGCACTCTCAAACAAAAGGCTGAGCGATTCTGGGGACACAACTCGTACCAAATTCTCATGAAACTTCATGAACTCTTCGTCGTTGCTACAACATCAACCAAATTCCAGTACTGGTCCAACAACGTCGCCTTCGGTGGTTTGGCCATGTTCTGCGCCGACCAGATGACGATCTGGTCAAATCAGTTCTAAATCCCTCGCCATTACCATCTTGGTGATGTCGCAGGGGTGGACAGCTGAAAACATGGCTTGGTACAGTCAAGGCTGATATGGAGTGCCTGGGGCTACAAACCGTCTACGGACTCCGTCTGTGGAACAAGAATTGGATAACCCTGTCGCAAAACCTTGCATCAGATCACCGCGCCTGGGCAGCGATGATTCGAGATGTTCATGAAGCCGGCTCATCCTCTCGTAGGAGATAGCCGAAGTAAAGTAAGTATGTCACTACATGCAATGTTGCAACTTGAACGATACTGTCTTCTGTGCAAAGTCCTGTGTTAAAACCGGTCAGTCAGTCATTTAATTTGCCGGTTATGTCTGCTTAATTGATTATAAGGTCTCTTTTTAAAAAAATATGCTTTTTATTTTGCAGATGTGAGTTTAGTGCTAAAAATGTCACAGCTGAAGCATCCACCTTATTCACTGCAGCGAAGTATTTCATCCAAGCTGATGATAAATACACCTCAATGAATGCTGTGAATTATGAAGATAATTTAGACTGTGCTATTCTATGTCTTTTAAGAGCAGCAAGGGTAACTCCAATGTTCATATAATTTCTCTTCTTGATATAGATTTATGAATTGAATGAATTATTCACATTAGCAACAAATGTCTACATCTATTTAGTGGATTTACTAATGGTAGGTAGTGGTATTATTATGTAATTAGAAACAAATTTAATGCAAATCAATTTCTAATAGAGATTATGCAAGTATAATCAAGCTATTCCTTATTTAAAACGTGCAATGGAGATTGTATCAAAGGATATATTATTGAGTTTAGAATTATATAAACGTCTGAGTCATTGTCAATTGTGTATACGTGAGTTATGCGTCGTTCGTTGTTTTGCCTCATATTGACCTGTTTTCTTTTAATGATTATCATTGTCTTTATGGTCTTACCTTCAATCCCCTTTAAATGTTAGACAGTTAACTTCACCTTTAGACAGTCAGTCAGGCATAAACGTGATCTACGAGAACTGATCGGTTCACATGGTGCTTGTGGCATACGCAGGCAGGGTACTGAAATAGAAACTGAGTCAAGCATAAAATACCTTGGAAATAGTTCTATTCTGTGACCTTTCTTGGTCATCGCATATCTTGTAGATTTCTAAGAAAATATGCCGTCATCTCACCTATTACTACTATATTAAGAAGTTAAGACAATCAGGAATCACTCAACCTCTACTTTTACAATTTGTTAACTCTTTCATCTTATGTATTGTACTTTATTGCTCTCCTGCCTTTGTATTTCCTGAGCTGTCGGAAACGGACTATGTCATATTGAGGTGAAGAGTATTAATGGTTGTCAGTAGGGTCATTAGTGTGACATTTAAGTCAGTTCGTTACTATTGTAGTCGAGAGACATCTGAACTCATGTGAGAAATGATCTAAATCCAGATTGGCTGATTCTTAACACTTGGGTCTCTATTCACAACTCTCCCCTTGTATTGCATTTCATCGTGTAGGACTGGAAGTCAATATAAAAGATTATATGCTCGTGTAGGCAAGTACAAGTACCAGTGTGCGTTCTATGGGATAGAGATAGTGTTAGGTGTGAAACCCCACGACTCTTGTTATGTTATTAGCAAAATAATCGGCTCTTTTATTCTTTCCTATTTGTAATCTACATGATTGCAAAAGGTTTGGAAAGAAGGGAAGGTATCTACTGATTGGAAGGAAGGCTACCTCGTCAAGCTACCAAAGAAGGGCGACTTAGGCGTGTGCAACAACTGGTGTGGAATCATTCTCTTTTCCACACCAAGTAAAATACTAAGTCGCATCATCCTGGAGAGAATAGAGGATACACTTGATGTAGAACTCCCCCCCACGGGACAAGCTGGACTCAGGAAACGCAAATCATGTGCTGATCAAATTGCAGCTCTACGCATCGTCATCACACAATAAAGCATAGAATGGCAGTCAAACACCCACGTCAACTTCATCGACTTCGAAAAGGCCTTCGGCGGACAGCGTTGACCGAGAAGTAATTTGGAAACCACTTCAACACTATGGCGTGCAGTGCTCATGTCTTAATCAACCTTATTCAATAGCTGGCTATATGACAATGCCACTTGTCAGGTGATCCGCAACGGAAAACTCAGCAAAGCCTGCATCTGAAGTGAAGACAGGAGTAAGATAAGGCTGGCTGCCTATTATCACCAATGATATTCTTGATTGTGGTGGACTGGATTATACTCCAGACTGTGCACAGGGAGTGAGGAGACAGGAATACACCAGACCACTGATAAGAACGCTTTAGAAGGTCTGGATCCCTCGGATGATATATGTATAGTGTCACACAAACTCGAAGACTTGCAGGTGAAAACCAAAAAACTGACAAGAGGCTGACAGCGAAGACAGGACTACGGGTGAACACAGAGAAGACGGAGGTGATGAGGATAACCAGCGAACAACAGCAACAACAACCAACACCAATCACCATCAACGAGAGAGATGTAACTGAGGTCACTCACTTCCTTCACTTATTTAGGAAGCAACGTTTCAACTACAGGCCGGCGGAACGGATGAAGATGTCAAAGCCAGCCAAGCGGAATCGGAAAGACGAGATACGCCTTCATCAAACTGAAACCAGTCTGGAGATCTTCTGCACCCCGCTGCATAAAGAACAAGATTCGCATTTTCAACACCAATATCAAGTCGGTCCTTCTGTACGGGTCAGAAACTTGCACTGCATGTCACGATAAGGATTTCTAACAGCCTGTTGCAGACTTATATCAACAGCTGCCCACTTTACCGGCTCCATACTGAAGATCAAATGGCCAGAAAGAATTAGCAACGAGAAACTCTGGATGGCGACAAACCAACAGACAAGAGCCGACCGCCCAAAAAATATGTAGGAGAAAATGGAGATGGATCGGGTGTGTACATTGAGGAGGCTGTCGAATGACATCGCGAACCAGCCCATCGGTCTAGTGAAATCTAAATGGGAAGCAACGAGTGGGTCGTCGGTGCAAGGGTGACATGGAAGAGATCGTGTGAGTGGGGGGGGGGAGATGAGAGATTATGTGCAATCGTGCACGCAGATGAAGAGGACAGCAGAAGAAAGAGAAAAGTGGAGATGTATTGTCAAGGCTCTATTTTTCACTGGGAACCCAAGGGAATAATAATAATAATAATAGCACCAATTTATAATCTATGGTGGCACTATTTCAACTAACTTATAATGTTACCTATTAACATTATTTTCATCATTATTTAACACCTTTTGCACATTTTTGACATTATTGTCACTGGTAATACCAAAAGGCTGCCATTATCAATCCTGTTTTCGTAGACCCTGTATTTTTGTGTACAAAATGCTGAAAATTCCACACTGTATCATAAATACTGTTTTGAGATAAAGCGAATTATATTATTATTATTTTTGTCATTTTTCAGATGATTGGCCTGGTGCCTTGAGTACATTCATAAGAATACAATGTTTACTGAAAGAAGAGTTTAGTAAGTGTAAATTATATATATATATATATTCTTTGACTGTGTGTCTGTGATTCAAGTTTAAACTGCTCACCAAATATGCAGATGATACGGGTTCGATTCTCGACCGACAACACACCTAGGCCTCTCTTGGCCGGTGGTAAGCTTGTGAAAGAGTGAAAGTTGGACGTGAAGCTAGCGACCTCACCCGATAAAAGTAACACCAATGCTGTTGAACTTCAAACCTCGAGTTTGAAGCTCTTTTATTTATTTAATTCAATTAGGCTTTCCCGCTGATTGATTGGTTGGACATCCTGGACTCAATTGCTACTCACCATCCACCAATTTACTTCGAGTTAAGTAATCACACGTCGTCGAAGCATTTGCACAAGAAGCCGACATATCAACCTGAGGCCGAGGACTTCAGTCCAGTCAATAAATGGGAGGACAAAATTGAATTAAATGATTACTGATTCCCGTTTCTACAAGAGGTGGCGTTTGAAAGTATGGGTACTGGATTCGAGTATCTCAGTGAGAACACCACCACTCACTAGGGAATGCAGGTATATTTCCAGCTAGTTGACGAGTCCCAAATAGAATGAAATGTGCATCCTGGTGAATTCCACTGCTAGTCACCATCTATCAATTTACCTGAAGTTTGAAGCTCTACGTTCCACTCGGAACGCAAAGAAAGGAAAGAAATACTTTGGCTATATATATCCAAACCAAGTTCACTTTTAACAGTTTGAAAAAATTTGGGTATTGGGTATATGATATTCATTATAATAAAGGCTTTTGTATTTCCCAATGAATGAAAAACAAAACGATATTGTTTTTACTGACGCTTCACTATTTAATGCTAATAGTATTATTAAACCGGAATTTACAAAATCTCAGCATATATATAACATTTGATAGTGTGGAAAATTCCCATATTATGAATTAAAAGTCAATCTGAACGAAGAATATTCTTTTCAATAATTTCTCTTCAGGTTCTTACAATTATAAAATATAATATTTTTTGTCGTTACAATAAAGGTCAGTTATGCGGCAGATACATTTTTAACGTAGAATAAAAGATTAGTTATGGGGTGTCAAAATAAATAGTCGTATTTGTGTGACAAAGGTGCTAGGCTGAATTCGATTACAAAATATTGTAAAACGGGAGACAATGGTGATTACTCATAATATATTTGTAGAGTATGGGGTAAGAAAATTGACAAGTCAGTTCAAGGTTATAAAAGGTGTCAGGTGAGGGGCTAGTAAAAATCTTCTATGATTAATCACAATTGTCTCCCGTTTTACAATATTTTGTAATCGAATTCAGCCTAGCACATTTGTCACACAAATACGACTATTTATTTTGACACCCCATAACTAATCTGTTATACAACGTTAAAAATGTATCTGCCGCATAACTGGCCTTTATTGTAACGACAACAAATATTATATTTTATAATTGTAAGAACCTGAAGAGAAATTATTGAAAAGAATATTCTTCGTTCAGATTAACTTTTAATATATATAACAAAGAGTTAAGGGGTAAGAAAATAGACTTAGGTCAAGTTAAAAGGACATATTGAAAGTCAAAATAACAATGAAGATCACTAAACCAAATAGCAAAGGTAATAGTACATTTGTTATGATATCAAAATAAAGTTTACTAACTTGATCATCGTTCGTTAGTCTGGGGTCATTTTTCGCTGTCAAGTTGGTCAATTGGTAGGGATAACAAAACCAAGTGTAGATTGTTGGATTTGATAAGTGTGTAGAATTATAAAGGCAGTATGTGTTTATATAGTGAACTTGCATACCACATTCGTGTTTGTCAGACACACTACGAAACAACCTTGTCCATATGAAAGACCGAATCCCTAAAGATTCCCTATCTAATTGTGTCTATAAAATAAAATGTTTGGAATGTGATGCGATTTACATCGGACAAACATCTCTAGAAATCAAAATCAGAAGAAATGAACACCGTAGAACATCTGTTCGACCACCGAGAAATCCGGTTGAACTAGAAAAACCTGAAAAATCATCCGCCATAGCTCGTCTACACGCTTTAGAATGAGGCCACGAAATTTATTTTGACAATATTGAAATAATCCAGAAAAACGATTTCAGAAATCACAAAGAACGTCTAATATTATCAGAAGCACTTCATATCAAGTGGAATCCAAATTGTCTGAATAGGAATGATGGACTAAAACAGAATCTGACCTGGTTACAACACCTCCCTCCCCTCCCCCATGAAGTGGCAAAATCAACACGAATGTGATATGCAAGTTCACTATGTAAACACACACTGCCTTTTTAATTTTAAACACTGATCAAATCCAAAAATTTACACTTGATTTTGTGATCTTTACCAAATGCCCCCAGACTAACGAACGATGATCAAGTTAGTAAACTTTATTTTGATATCATAACAGATGTACTATTAACTTTGCTATTTGGTTTAGTGATCTTCATTGTTATTTTGACTTTCAATATGTCCTTTTAACTTGACATAAGTCTATTTTCCCACCCCTTAACTCTTTGTTATATATATATATATATGCTGAGATTTTGTAAATTCCGGTTTAATAATATTTTGATAAAGCTATTAACATTAAATAGCGAAGTGTCAGTAAAAACAATATCGTTTTGATGTTCATTCATTGGGAAATACAAAAACCTTTATTGTAATACTTTGGCTAATTTATTTTCCTTTAATTCCACTTGTTGGAGTTTGTTACGAATCAACAACAGTTATAGAGATCATTGAATACCAGCCAGGAGTACTGGATAGCTATTTCGTCCTAGTTTGGCAAAGCTGGAATTCATGGGTCATTGAATTTCAGCCCAAGTTAGGGTTTGAGGACAAATACTCACCGATGACCATTGACTAATGGTCGCGCTATATCGTGAATTGGCAGAAGTTGGAATTCATTGGCGACCGGCCATTGGATTAGGTCCCAGTGGCTTAATGGTCTACGAGTTCGCTAGCCTTGTGTAATAGGAAGGCACTGGGTTTGAACCCTGTGGATAAGTGCTTACTGCTGAATAGTCTCAAGCGCCAGAACGAAACAGCTGGCTGGCTGGCTGTCCACTACTCCCAACTGGTCTTCCAATAAATTCTCTAACCAACGTCACCTCGTGATGAAATCCTGTAACCAATCAAATCCCTGCAAACCACCAACACTCGAATAGATAAGGATAAGCGTGATCTGGTAATTTATAGGTCCCAGATTCGTTCCCATCACGGCATTGTAGAGTACACACTCTTGACTGTTTTTTTCTTTTTCATTGAGATCTCTCTAACTGATGTGTTGTTGGTTTGTGACGCAGTCAACACAACACTGAACATATTCCAATTAAATCTAAATCGCATAAAGCCCTAAATTAGTTTCCTTTCCTTTGATTTGTTTTCTTCTTTTTCAGCTGTTCATTCATTTGATCTTTATGTACAGTATTGGAGTTATGCTGAAATTTTTCGTGTATTACTAATTCTTCTGTGTATGGTAAGGTGTTATTTTATCTTTGTTTGTCATTGTATTAATAAATAATCCTTATAAATTACAAATTAGCCACCGTATAAATTGTGCAGCCATGATACTTCTGGTTATTCACTGAAACAATACACTTTGGATATCGATTGTCAAGAGACTGAAGATGAGGTGGTAACAACAGAACAGCTACTACAACCACCACCACCTATGAAATCAGCTTATATCGATGAGGAACTATTCATCTTATTGCAGTCGTTTGTGGTGAGTAACTTTGAAACAGATTTTCAAAAATTATGGGAATATTTTCTTTTTCTTTTTTGATAAAGCAGGTTGTTATGACTTGGAATTACGACCTAGTAGAGTAGACTATGAGCGAATACTAACTTAAGGCGCTGGCTAATCTGTCCTAATCGCACAACAACTACAACAATAACACCACTGGGCCGTAAAGACAGAAGGAAAGGCTAGTCATTGATAAAAGAGCTTTTATTGTCTCAAACAATAGTCAAAAAGAGATTGACAGCGCTTGCGTACATTTTTTAAAATTCCTTTATGTTCCCAGTGAAACATAGAACGCCTTCAAGCTACAGACTTGAAGTTTCGGTAGCAGTGGTGTTTATTTTTACGGGATAGATGGGGTTGCTAGCCAGTCTCATGCCCAACCTTTCCTCTTTACCAGTCTTATTACTGTCTTAGTGAGGTAAAGGAGTGCGTCCGTCGGTGGCCGGGGATCGAACGCCGGACCACACTGGAAGTGGTTGATGAGTATTCTATCGCTGTGCCACTGATGCACACCTGCGTACACAAATGTTCGAAATGGCCTTGAGAGGCAGTAATGTCATTGATAAATCAAGACAGTGAACAACCAATAGGATTTCAAAGGTCATAAAGAGTGTGAGAGAAATACAAACAGATATGTAAAAATGACATGTAGAAAATTAGGTCTGTTTACATCATAAATTTGAGTATCAGTCGTGTGACTTTCTATACTGATTGATCGGTCAGTAATAACAATAATAATAATATTAACGACAATAATAATGCGTCGGTAGCACAGCGGTTAGAACTCTCGCTGACCATTCACATGGTCCGGGGTTCGACCCCCTACCGACGCACACCCGATATCAATGATCGGCCTGCAAAATTTGGGCTACGGATATCACATGCTAAAAATTCCATACTTGTACCAAATATAGGGTGTGGAATCAAGCTATAATAAAAAGAAATAATAATGATTACTAAACCTTATACGTCATCCTCAATGCAACGTAACAACTCATTAAGTCATCAGCTTCCTGTTAACCAGTAATTGCTGCCTTGTTATGCTTAGTATAAGCTTAATTATCACTAGTCAATCATTTACACTGGTTGAGATCATACCACTACTAAGTAAACAGCGGTAAGGATAAAAGTCAGTAGTATAAATAGCTTACATGACCATGGGGGATGTGAAGTCACTCACGCCGGTGACTGACTGCATAAGAACTCAACAGAGTTATGAGGACTCCCCCACCCCACCCCGACCTTCCTCCAACGAATAAAACCAGAATTTCAACCAACTATATTGTTACCTTTCATTTCGGAGAATATTATACGTTACTACATAAGGTAGATGATGAACTGTACTTATTGATGAATGTGTAACAACTCTAAAAAGTTCCTTCAACATACATCGAAACACTCAATGGTTAATTCATGTGTAGATTTTGTTGTGTTAAAACTAATACTAGATGTTTTAGAAGAAAATACAATAGTGGAAAAAAATGAGTTCTAGCATTCAGTTTATGTTAGCTGTCCAGTGGAATAAATGACTAAGAACAAGAAAGGATCTGATGACACTCATGAAATGCTCATTGTCATTCTTATGTTAGCTAGCGAGTAGTGACTGTCATAAGCGAGTAGAGTTTGTGAAATGAACTTTCAAATTATCAAAAAGGATAACAGGCAAAGTTAAACTATCTTAGGCAGAACCACAGTGACCTTGAACAACCAATCAAAACTCAGATGCAACAAAAGTCGCATGATCATTGAAAAATACACTAAAAAATATTGCAAACTTGATATTTCACGGTATAGTTGTAGCTTGTGTGCTGTTGTAAGAATGTCTCCCAGTCAATACACAGAGGTTGATATCAGTATAAACTTGAGCACTGTGGTAGAGTATAACTCCATTATGGAAAGGATTTTATTTTGATATATCACACAGTGTTGTACAGTAATATTAACTGATGACGTTTCGAGCTCGCGGTCGCTGAGCATTCAGCTGATGAGCATGATTTATGCTTGTGCGTATTGGTCACCTTTCAATGTTTGTTAAACTGTAGGTGTCTGCCTGTTGATAAATATGTATGGTATGCTTATCATGCGGTGCACACATTGGAGGATGTGTCGGTTTGCCTGTCAGTACACTGCCTCTGGGTGATCATCACTACCAATACTTCTGTATTTCTCTTCTGTAGTCAAATTTATCCTATGTGGTTAACGTTAGGTTTAGTTAGATGGGCAGGTGAATTACTGGTTCAGTATATAGGGTATGAATGTTAGTAGCTGTCTACAGCTATAGGACCTGTATGGTGTGTCTAATACAGTAGCTATGTATATAAATACTCTGTCCTTCAGATGGGGTTGCGGCTGATCGACTTACCCCTTGTCTTGGTTGGTCAGTTGATTCTCTAATCCTGTTCAGTTGGCAGTTTCCTCTGTGTTGTGGTACTGTGGTAGATTATCGACCTGATCTGTCTTGAAATACGGACCAAGATGTTTAATAATATGTGCACTAGTCATTAGTCATTACGAAACTCCATAGGATTACTGAAGATAAGGGTTCCGCTTGTTTGGACTAAGATAAAATCTTGTTGTTTTGCTCATCAATTTCAAAATGGGAGCAGCAGACACATCACCGGCCCGTCCTGCGACGTAGACATGTGACGTTGCACCATGTGCACCTCCGGGGTGGAACAAAAAAGGGCTAGAAATATCTGATCCACGGACGTGCGGCCCTACTGATCGGGTAAACAACTTTCCTTTAAGACTAGATGCCTGGTCTGTGCATTTAATTCCCTGGCTGGCACTTCGATATCCTTCAAACGTGCATGCTCAAGGTGCACACTTAGTATATAGTAGAACTGATCCTTCCGTCAGTGCAGAGACAGTGTTGACGATAAGACAAGGCTTCCCTAGCCGATTGCTTGTGAATCTGATATGACCTTCCAGCATTACGACTATAGATAACCGTTAATGAGGATCCATTCGATTAGTGCGACTTTGGCTCTAGTGTTTAATGCAACGCTGAGATCAGCTGACTTGCGGATGTCGATGGGGAGGCGTCCCAAGAGAAATGTGTGTGTATATGTGTAGAAGACACTACTCTCAGTTTTTAAAATGGAGAAGACATACAAATTACCTCACCGGGATCTTGCATGAGAGTCTGTAAGATGCAGCACACGTCAACATCGAAGGTTTCCAGGTTTCAGGTGAGATTCACCGGTTGCCTAATCAGCATCATTATGTGAAAGTGATACGCGGTATCAGAGTGGCTGTGTTCCAGATATCTCATAAGGAGGCTAGATTTCCAGAGGTAAGTAATAAGCAGTGTAACCGGTTGACGCATTTCTAAACCTCATCTACCCAGTAAGGAATAAATCTGGGAACGGGGAAACGCCAGACATGAGACTGGCAGTTCCACCACTTGGAAACGGAACTGTAAGGCTTATTGGAATGTGTTCCACCTGGATGTGTTATCTCTATATAGGCAAATTATGTACACCTTATCTTCAAAGCATCATTTGCACAGCTCTTCAATGTTTTGCTGCTTCTGGCCTTCAAAACGTGTTTCCTTGTGTTCCCTTCATATCGTCTCTCATGTTTCTCCACAATACTGAATCATTTGCTTTCCATGACATCAAATCTGCCTCCCTGTTATTTGATATTTTTTATGCCCGTCGATGAAAGTCTCTTTATATACTACTAATAAATTTGACCAGTAGCATACGCCACAATATGACTGTTTTCTTTATTTCTTTTCCCAACTGTTTTTGTTCCCTTTCTTTCTTTCTTTCTTTCATAGTTAGCACATCGAATCAAAGATATTGTTGAATTGGAGAAACTTTCAGTGATGTTACAATCATTTTTGAATTTAGAACAACGTGAATTAGTCAGCCTTATTATTCGTCAACTGGTAGTAGTCGATATATCATAAGAAGAAAAAAAAAGAATTTATTCCCTTTTGAACACTGTGATAGATATCATTAATTTGTTGGAAAAAAATGTGTGTATGTGTTATCAATCTATCAAGTATTTGTAAATTATTTATTTATTTATTTAACACTTTTCATATTTTTTAAAAGAATGGTTATTGAACACAGACTATTCCCATTTTCGATAACCTGCTCCTCATTAGGTGGTTCTACATTTATGTATACGTAATAGTGAGTGAGTGAATGAATGAATTAGTTTTTCAAATATTAGTTTGTAGGGATTTTGATTGATTGGCGACAGGATTTCTACATGAGCTGACATCGGTTAAAGAACCATTGGAAAACCACCAGGGTGTACTGGACAGCTAGATGTCTCGTCCTAGTTTGAGACTCTTCAGCACTACACACCTACTTCAACTGGGTTCGAATCCAGGACCTTCCAGTTACAAGGCTAGCCAGCTCGTAAACCATCACGACACTGAGACCCGATCCAACAGCTGACCCATGAATTCCGTCTTCTTCCGATTTACGACATAGCGCGATAGCTAGTCAGTGTCTTCGGCGAGTAATTTTCCTCACACCCTACCTGCTGTGCCCTACTGGTCACGATGTCCAGCAGGTCGGGTGTGAGGAAAAATACTCGCCGAAGACACTGACTAGCGATCGCGCTATGTTGTGAATTTGCAGGAGTTGGAATTCATGGGCCAGCTGTTGGATCGGGTCTCAGTGTCGTGATGGTTTACGAGATGCCTAGCTTTGTAACTAGAAAGTCCTGAGTTTGAACGCCGGCGATAGTGGGTGCGTACTGTGAAGAGTCCCAAACTAAGGTGAAACAGCTGTCCAGTACTCCCAGATATTCCAGTGGTTCTCTAGCTGATGTCAGCTCATGATGAAGTCCTGTAACAAAATTGATTAGTGTTATTAACAACATTAATGTTGTTTAGATAACATAGAATCAATAATAATAATAATATCAATGGGTTACAGTTCGATAGCATCAACATAACACTACGCACTGAATATCAGAAAAATTAGGGAAAATAATACAAATTGATAGATTTATTGTCTTCACCGAAGGCTGGCCAGGGCAGTAGTATTGGTTGAACTTGCTTCTTTCGCACACAAAGCACTGGTTGTTTCGCGCGAATCGCGATAGCCTCTGCTGTTTGGAGTATGCAGTACCTGGATATTTTTGGCAATTTATTTGGTACCCGATAGATAATGATAGAGAAGGATTCTGCGGTTGTAGCTTTATGGTCAGTTTGGACCAGGTGGTTTAATATCGAACTGTTGATGGTTTTTACTACACCCTTATTTAGCCACACCACACTGGTAGATGTTCTCGAGCGAGCACAAAAAATCAAGTTCCTAGAGCAACGGCCAATATAACTCGCTCCACAACAAGCGCGGTTGAATTAGTAGATGAAATTGGAAGTGGCTAGTCTAGGTACTTCATGTTTCAATTGAAGAATCACCATCGTTGGAGTAGTAAACATGACTCGTAGTTTACCAGCATTAAAAGTTCTTTGAATAGATTTTCTTAAATTCTTAGTAATTATTTCGCTTGGTATATCGGTGATAGTGAGTAGTCCTTTTCCGATTTCTTCGTCATATGTTTCTTGATGAACTTTTCTGGATAGCCTTTTTTCAATAAGGGTGTCATATACAATCCTTAGTTCATCTTCAGTTACTTCTTCTGAGCACATAGCTCTAACCCTGTGTCTGAGGTGCGTCCTTAATAAATTTCTTTTGTATTGGAGAGGAACGAAGCTATAAAAATGTGTATATTGTCCTGTCCATGTACTTTTCCTATGCAAATTTCACTTTATACTGCCATCTGGTTTTCTTGTAAGAACGACATCTAGGAAGGTAATTCTATTTTGAGATTCCTTTACGCACGTGAACCGCATAGCAGAATGTACTTCATTGAAGTGAGTTATTATTGTATTCCTATCCGAATCACATTATCACAAAGAATAAAAGTGTCATCCATATATCGGCAATAAAATGGGGATTTTCTGATAAGGTTGTTTATTGAATATTTCAATAAACTATATTTTCTGTAGTAAATTAATTTAATTTTTAGACATTGTTAGGAGTCACTGATAACAGGAATCCTTAGACCATGACGTTTTTTAAATGCTTGTTGACTCTCATCAGGAAGAGTTTAATATGACCTGTCTTTCGGGACTCGAACTTTCGTCGCTATACATATATGCATATATTTGTTGGATTCTGAGTGGGACATTAGGGCTTCTGCAGCACAATTGCCTATAACCTTTCATGTCTTCCTCACACACTGACCTCCATGTCACCCTTGGGCTTACACTCCCAACTGGTCATCTTCCATTTGGGTTCTACTCGGGGGTCTAGTGTGCGTGTGTGTGGGGGGGGGGTCACTCGACAGTCTTCCCAGCGTATGTTCGGTTCATCTCCATTTTCTTCGGCATATTTGTTGGTTGAATAGGTTGATGGTTGGTTCGCTACCTGGAAGAGTTCTTTATTACGCGATTCGTTTCTATCTGTCACTCCATCTGATCCTCACTATAGAATGCAGGTGACTGATTGATTATCGGTGAACGTTTTCCTCTGGTGACTCGTCAAGTTTCTGAACCCTATAAAAGTGTTATTAACTGGACATTGGTGTTGAATCTTGTTGCTTATTTAGAAGATTTCTACAATGAATTCAGATTAATGAAGGTCTAGATACGTGGTTGGATAGATAGATAGATAGTTAGAGCAATTTATAGGGAATCAGTTGATCTGCAACTGAAATGCGCATACTTTCAATTCTATACAACTGAAAACATTGAGAATATCAAACCAAAAAATGGACATAAATATTACTCCCATTTAGTCTGTAAGTCACTAATGGAAGTCCATGGAAAATTCCCATTCTAACACAGAGAAAATCAAAACAAGTGATGATTCAGCGAAGAGACTCTCTCCGACAACGAATTTATTATCAAGTTGTACAATCGTATATATATTTTTATTTTATTTTATTATAGCTTGATTCCACACAGTATTTTGGCATAAGTATGAAATTTTCAGCATGCGATATCGGTAGCCCAAATTTAGCAGGCCGACCATAGATATCAGGTGTGCGTCGGCGAGGGATCGAACCTCGGACCATGTGCATGATCGGCGAGAGTCCTAACCGCTGTGCCACCGACACAGAGTTTTTTTAATAAATTATATACGATGAGGGAACTGAATCAAAGGTGTGAACGCAAAAAAAATAATAATAGTAGTATGAAATGCAGTTAAAATGTTTGTGATTATAATCATTGTTAAATGTCAAGCGGCATGACAATTAATGTCATATATAGAATAATTCATTGGATGTATAGAACTTGGATTATTAGGTAAATCGAATAAAATAAAAAAACGTTACGTGATATTGTGTGAAATTTGATAACAGAATTTAACGTTGTGAAAACATAATTGATTTAGAATGACAAGTGGAACGAGTGAAATGATACCGAGGACAGTTCAAAGTGAGAATAGTACTAGAAGCAATTGACGTACAAATTGAATAAACGAAGCGAAAGACAGGTGGAGAGCTAAAATGTGATTAGGGATTACCATACTTCAGCGTAGAGGAATTAAGACCATGAAAGTTGGAGGGGAGTGGTTGAACGAACATTTTCTGGATACAGAGATCTGGCTTTCCTGTTTCGATGGTCAAAGCTGCTTCAGCAAACAGATGTGTTAGATAGGTATTATTATTATTCCCTTGGGTTCCTAGTGGAACATAGGGCTTAAACTACACGCCTCCACTTGCTTCTGTCTTCTGCTCTACTTTTCACCTGCGTCCATGTTAATCCATACTGTTTCAACTCTTCTTCACACGATCTCCTCCATGTCACCCTTGGAATTCTCACTCACCGCTTCCCTTCCGTGTTCCACTCGAGGGTCTGGCGCGCGATGACACTGAGCGGCCTCCTAAGCGAGTGTCCAATCCATCTCCACTTTCTCCTGCATATTTGTTGGGCGATTAGTTCTTGTTTTGTTTGTTCCCATAGTTTCTTGTTGGTGATTCTTTCCGGCCATCTGATCTTGAGTATAGAGCGAAGACAGTTGTTGATAAAGGTCAGCAACAGGCTGTTGGAAATATTCCTTGTGACCCGCCAAGTTTCTGATCCGTATGCATAGAAGAATTGACTGGTTTGACGATTGTATTGAAAATCCGAATTTTGTTGTTGATGCAGGCTGAGTGACGAAGATTTCCAGATTGATTTCAGGTTGATGAATGTGTTTCTCGCCTTCCCGATTCTCGATTTGACATCCTCGTGCTGTAGTTGAGACAATGCTCCCTAGATAAGTGAATGAAGTAACCTCTTTCAAATCCCTCCCGTTGATGGTGATTGGTGCTGGATGTTGCTGTTGTTGTTGGTTTTCATGACCTCCGTCTTGTCTATGTTCACCTGGAGTCCTGTCTTTGCTGCTTCTTCGACCAGTTTGTCGGTTTTCGCTTGTAAGTCTTCGATCTTGTGTGACATCAAACAAATCATCCGCGAAATCCAGGTCTTCTAGATTCTTCACGTCGGTCCAGGATATCCCTGTCTTCTCGTTTCCCACTGTCTGACGCATAATCCAGTCCAGTCCACCACAATTAGGAATATCATTGGTGATAATAAGCACCCTTGTCTGGCTCCTGTGTTTACTCCAAAAGCCTCGCTGAGTTTTCCGTTGTGGATCACTTAACATGTGCCGTTGTCGTACAGCTGTTGAATAAGGTTGATGAATATTTGGGGTACGCCGTAGTACTTGAGTAGTTTCCATAGAGAATTAGCAACAAGGGACTCTGGATGGCGACAAAACAACCAAGTGCCGATCGCTCAACAAATATATAGGAGAAAATGGAGGCGGATCGGGCATACGCTGGCTAAGGAGGCCGTCAAATGACATCGCGCACAACGCAGGCCATCAGTCGAGTGGATGCTGAATGGGAATCGATGAGTGGGTCGTCAGAGCGAGGGTGACATGGAAGGAGATCATGTGAGTGGGAGATTATGGGCAGTCGTAGAGCTATCAAGCTGAGGAGGACAGAAGAAAGTGGAGGAAAGTGGAGATGTGTTGCTGAAGCCCTATGTTCCACTCGGAACACAAAGGAACTATATATGTTGTGGAAGCTGGCTGCTAGCCAAAGTTGGTAGACAGTAATTGACGTCAATTTTTATGTCCCCAATATTGGTGGTGAGAAAATGAGAACAAAGGCTTTGCGTAGGCGGATACAGTTAGCATATGGATGATCTGACACAGCCACAAAGAGATGCAAGGTTAACTTTCTGTGAGAAACAACCAATCAAAAGACTGTATTTTCTACTAACAATAATGTACATTAAAATCTATCAATATGTGTTGAT